CATATACAGTGGCAAAAAGCTGGAGGCCGATACAACTACAATCTATACTGGCAAAAACACTAGAAAGAGCGGCAGTCATACGGATAGCAAGACTCGAAATCCTGGAAGACAATATGTTCGGAGGGAGAAAGAGATACGGTACGACAGACGCCATACAAGCCCTAAACAACGTAATGGACACAACCGGAAAAGCTGGCAAATGCATCACCACCCTCGACGTCCAAGGGGGATTCGACCACCTACAGATGAGTAAGGTGTGCAAAAGGCTCGGAAAGCACTCGGGTCACCTGGCACAATGGGTCCGACACTGGGCCACCGACAGGACGACTAGCTACCGGTTCAATGGCAGGACGTCCAGAGGATATGCTACTGACAAGGGCACGCCACAGGGCTCTCCCCTATCACCAATACTCTTCCTCATCAGCATGCTAGAGACAGCAAAGGTTCAGGCAACGCCATCCCAAAAAGCGGAAACCAAGGTCCTGATGTACGTGGATGACATCCTGGTAGCAACAACATACCGGGACGCAAAAGAGGGAAAAAGGATACACCAGGAAACTATTAGGGGACTTGAGACAACCACAGCCAAAGACGGGTACGAGTTCGCACCCAGTAAAGCCGAAACAATCTTCGTGCACACCCCACTGCAGAGCAAGTTCGAAGTCCGCCTACGAGGCCAAGAGATACCCGCTCAAATCCACCTGAGGTGGCTCGGATACTTCCTAACAGACAAATGGAAATGGGACCACCACGTCAGACACTGGATCAACAAAGCCACCAGCTCCGGACACCGCATAAGGGCAGTAACGTCCAGATACAGCAAAGGGGGACTGAATTCAGGGACGACGCTGCGGCTAATCAAGGGCCTGATAATCCCACAGCTGACATACGGGATAGAGACATGGGAAAACAAAGGCCTGTAAAGAGAAGCGCAGGCGGCCCTCAACAAGATAGTCCGAACCGCCTTCGGGCTGGAAAAGAAAACACCGGTCCTGGCCTTCCTTACCGAACTCGGGATCCCACCACTAGACCTCATGATGCAATTCAGACAAAACCTGCTGGCGTTACGAGCCACCACCAAGGACCGCCACAACACTTGGACAAAGAGGTGGATGACCAGGCACGGGGCAGAGGACATTATCACCACCACCGGCAATTACCAGCTAGGCAAAGACGCACTTAAAAACCGGCTGCAACAAGACTGGGCAGAAAGGGTCACCAACGAAGGGACCAGATACCAAGGAAGGCCCGGCAAATCGCACAAACACCTGCATTCCCTAACCAGGCAAAACTTTAAAAGGCTGCTAGGATTAAGGGCAACGGCAGGTTGGCCATACCAGGAGATAACCGGCGCCAGAAGGCGGTGCCCATGCGACCGGGACATAATAACCTTTGACCACCTAGCAAACAGATGCGGGGTAACAACCGCCACAGCGATCGGGCTTTACGACAACAAGAGGCAAGGGGAACTCCTTCAATGGATGGACGGCTGGCCACACGAACTTAAGGGAAAACCAGAAATGACCGGGGACGGGGACGGCACCCAACAACCAGACGCGGCCCAGGTAATCGGAGCCAACATTAATCTACCCACAAGGCAACCAACACAGGCACCAGTGAAACCCAGGCCACGGCGGCCTTGCAAGATATGTGGGGAAATGGTACTAAGAGATGTGCAGCATGAGTCGGCACATTCCAGGATACACCATCCGGCAAGAAGGGGCCGCTAGGTTATGATGGCGGAAGACACGGAGGAGGCGCCCAGTGGACCAGGGGAGTAATGCTGGTCAGACGGTTATTTCATAATGTACACGACCGCGGGGCACAGGGGGCAGGCGTGGGTTTCTTTTGTTTGCTTGGATTTCCTTTGTTCACGACTACGGGGCACAGAGGGCAGGCGTAGGTTTCTTTTGTTAGCTTGGATTTTTTTTGTTCACGACCATGGGGCCAGAGGGGCAGGAATGGGTTTCCTTTGTGGTTGGATTTTATTTTGTTTACGACCATGGGGCCGGGGGGCAGGAATGGGTTTCCTTTGTGACGGACCAAAGTTGTTTGAGGGAGAGGGGAAGAAGGGAGTGGGAGTTTCTTTTGTATGGCCTACAGGGGGGTGTAGCGAAGGATTTCGTTGAGGGGGGCCCAGGGCTGGGGGCAGTATCCCATGCCGTACTCCGATTACTTTAGTTAGTAGGTGAGATAGTGGAAGAATAAAAGGTTTACACACACACACACCCTCTCTCTCTCTCTCTCTCTCTTCCATCGCGATGGGGAAAAGTATATTAGGGAGCAATTTACGGGTATATATAGTACGAGTACAGCAGGACCATGCAGGGCCGGGCAGGGCAATATCATCATGTATACGGTAGTCCGCGGCGGCAAAGCTCAGGCTGCCCCCCACCACCCACGAGAAAGTAAATAAATCCCTCACGTGACGGAATGGATTGTTCAGAGGAGGAGGGGGTGTTTTTTTTTCCCTTCCCGGACGGAACGGACGGACAGCGGTGCGGTCCGGTCCAAGCCGTGCTTCTGCTGGATTAGCGTGGAGTTTCTCGTATGATGGGAAGGTCTTGGTGTGGGGTGGTGGGTGAATGAGCGGGGGGAGGTGGGGGGAGGGGCGACAGTTGTATAATAATATTATAGTGTATACAGATGTGTTTCTCTGCACGATCTGATTATGGAAATCTAGAAAACTCATTAAATCATAGGAATTTTGTATTGAGGAGAGGAAGAGGCGATCCACACGGAGGGATAGAGAATCCATTGTGCTCCATTATACTTATACTAGTTGTAAAAATCCCCCCACCACACACACACACTCAAGTACCGACCGACCGAAAAGTTGGTACCGTAGGCGACCTACACGAGGAACCCAACAACCTTCCAAGAAATGGAGGGGTAGCGGGGAAATGGCGAGATCCGGTATACGGCGTGATACTGTGGGGAAACGGGGGAGGCGAAAGGTTCTGGAGTGGAGTACATATTTCTCGGGGTTCGGGGGGGTTCCCGGGGTGTTACTGCACCCGCTGGGCTCACGTGTGATGGAGGGGTATATAAGCACGATAGATTAACGCGGACCGACAACCGTCGGCGAAGGGAAAGATGAAGCGCACGTTATCGGATTATGTGGCGGGGGGGGGATCTTCGTTTCGACCCCGCCGGTTGAGAAGGTTGGTTGGGTGGACAGCTGACCATCTCATCCGCTCACTCGTTCACCGCAACTCACTCACTCACTCAGCACCGGAAGCGAAAGAGCTAGAATTTAAATTTAAATTCGCACCCAACACATACCCATCGCCCACCCGCCCAACCGAAAACCACGAACCCTCCCCCCCCAAAAGGAAAAAAAAATTCCGAACCGCTATTCAATCCGTGCTCCGCACGATAAAAAGTTACCACCGTAGTGACCCGCAGGCGAGACTCTCCATCGCTCGACGTCCGCTCACGTGCGATACGTGACGTCCCCGGAGGTGGGGGTGGAGGGAGCAACGGCGCTGACAAGCGGCGCAGTAATCACCGGGGAATTGTACGAGGTTTGGGCACCCGTACTTCGTGTAGTTTCTGGTGGGGGTCGCGGTCAGTGGGCATGTCACGTCATCATACCTCGTCCGGGAGGGTAGATAAGTGGTAATGGATGGCAGACGAGGCCACATGTGTATCATAGAAATCCAAATACTCACGCACAGGTATACGCCATCGTTCACAAATGTCCACCAGTATTATACCTCCGTCGGCTACCAAGAAAAAAAAACCGAGTGACAAATCGATATCCAAAACGGACCAAACTAAACAGATCGTAATCGATATAAAAAAATAAAATTGATAATCCCTTGCAAAATTCCCCTCAATTCGAATTCCCTCTCTACCGCGCCTTTTAAAAAACACAAACCGCTCTCATAGCTCCTTATATACCCCCCCATATCGTGACCCATCTAACGCCCCCAACCCCCGGTGAGTTACTTGTAGAAAAAAAAAAAAAAAGGGAGCATCCGCCCCGCGCACACAACCTCATCTCCACACTGCAGTGCTCAGTGCATCCACAGTCGAATATGGAAATACGTACCCACTCCCATCCGGCGAACTTTGCGCGCCCAGCTCCGACTGGAGGAGGGGTGGGTGGGGTAGGTGTACTTGCGCTTGTGGGTCGGCAAGGAGTGTGCAGAAGTGATGGATTGTGTGCCATGTACCGGCGGTAGTGGTGGTACCGTCGTCGGCCGAATGGCGCTTGCTAGCTTTGTGTGATGGGCCGTTCGGATGTTATTATGAGAGGAGTGGGGCAAGGCGGAGTGTGGGTTAAGGTTGGTTTCGTACTTTGTACTCGTACTTGGAGCGAGCGACTGGCTGGCTGGCTCGTGTAAGACGCCTCTCACACTTTCCCGGATTAGTGGTGATACCAGCGGGCGAGTGACCGATTGATGGATCGATTGGTTCCGGATGGTACAGTACCGGTGCTGCACTTTCCCATCTCCCTATCACAGGATGACTTCCATTGCCCTTCTCCTTCTTCTCCTCTTCCTCTTCCTCTTCTGCGTGTGACGCGCGGACGGGGAGAAAGATGGAGAAGAGAAGCGTACCCCTGAATGACGTCGGGCTCGCGCAAGTGCTGCCGCTTGCTCGCCTGCCTGCTTCTCGCGCTGTTAAGAATAGAATGGTCGGAAAATTCGTGGGGAGTACGAGAACGGTACCGAATCTGGAAAGGAAAATGCGCAATGGACAAAGGTGGACATACAATTAATCGCATCGGACAGAGTCCGAAGGAAGAGACGGCCAAGTTATTTTTCTGGAAGGTAAACTGTAGTGAAGAGAACACCCAATATCCACCCATTCATTAATCGTGTTCCTTCCGCTTTTCTCCCTCCCCAACTCCCCCTGGGGGGGGGACACCGTTCTCGAGTCTTCTTCATCTTCTTCCTTCTCCCTCTCCTTCTGGCCCCTCGCTCTTGCCACCGAATAGACAAAACAAAATATCCACGGTAAGCACGGGAATCACGGATGATATCGTATCGTTAAAAAAGGGTATAGTACGTTAAGTGTACCATCATGCTCAATAAATACATACATCCAGTCCAGAATCAAACAGTTTGGGGAAAAGAAAATATGAAAAAGAAAGGAAAATGGAAAAAGAAAGGAAAAAAAAGAAAGGGAAAAAGAGGGGAAAAGCAAATAAACACCGCCCCCACCCATATATGCATACCCAGTTAAAAAAGGCGAAAAAAAATGGAAAATGGAAAATGGGAAAATAAAATAATAATAAAAAGAAAGAGGACGATTTCAAACCAACACCTAGCAGCTATGCTCAGTCCCTTTGGCCTGTCTTGTCCTTTCTTCCCTTCTTTCTTGATTTCAATCCCCCGCCCTCCGCCCCTCTCTCCTTCCTGCCTGGCCTGGTGCTGCGGGTGCCACTGCTACTCCTCTTCCTCCTCCCCCCGTCCCGACCCCCGCACAAGCCAACCAATCAGAACACAGGACCTGGAAACGAGGAAAAAAAATAGTTCGAAAAATTCCAAAAATCCCAAAAGCTAAAATAATGAGTAATCTTTAGTTTCCCGTTGCGCCCGCATTTTTTAGAGAGGAAGGAAAAGGTGAAAAACGAGAAAAATGACGTAACGCCATAAACACCAGGTATGAAAGAGACGATGGTAATGATGACGATGAAGATGATGTTGTTGACGAATTCGCGCTAAATGCCCAATACCGACAAAAAAAAAAAAAGAACGGGAAAAGAGAAAACGCGAACAAGAAATATTCCCATGAATTAAACAGCTTGGAAGGGGAAATAAAAAAAATATAGAAAACAGACAAAATAGAGAAATTGGGGGGAATTTGCTTTTGTTGCTTTTTCCGGCAGGGTGAGGTGTGCTGTGCTAAGAGGGGGATGGAGGGAGGGAGGGGCTAGGTTGGTTGAGTCGAGAGGAGGATCGTATGGATGAATGAATGGTTATGCTCGTTGACGTTGTTGGGTTGTGGTGCCCCGTGACGATGTATGTATGTTACCCTCGTGAGCCAGACAGAAGGAGCCTCCCACCGATTCCGTCAGTGGATTGCATTTTCCGTATTCTCGCAGATGCTGAAGCAACAAGATGATCGAGGTCATGAATTTCGTTCGAGTATGAATAAACCTTTCCTTCCGCTCCCCCCCTCTCCCCCCCACATTCCACTCTCGGCCAAGGATGATTGAAAGAGGGATAAAGTTTAGTCGGTAATAGTCGCAGTAGTAGTAGCTGGAATAGTAGCAGTAGTGGTCGAAAGTCCTGATTTACCGACTCTCGTACTCAGGGAACGTCGAGTGTAATGACGAGAGGTCTATCGAAGGTTTTCGGTAAAGCTTTGGCGTCGAGAAAACTGAAGGCTTCCGGAGATTGAGTTGCTAAAGGAATGTCAGTAACGGTGAAGCAGCAGAAATAGCCCGCCTCATGGAAGGCCGAGTCTGTCTAGAACTAACCCTACAACTATCGCATCGTCCACCGAAGATATTTACTCGCCCGCGGCATCCTCTGGGTTGGTTTACACAGGAGTACATTGTGAAGGTCGTGATTTGCTTTTCAGCTTCGTCGCAGGTTGAGATGATGGTTGGGATTAATGTTGGTGATGATGGAGTGTGCTTGCCCTTGTTATCGGTATTGTAGAGTTTATCGAATGCGTTGAAGGAAGTAATTGCGATACTGTCCAAGAGGCGTCCAAGTGAGGCTTGCGGAATTGACCAGGCTAATCGAAGGGAGGATCGTGATCTTAAATATTTGGACTCGGACTCGGTGGGGGGGGGGCACTGGTGATAATATACTCGTAGTGATTGCAGGAAGGGAGGAGGGTGGGAGGGGCGAGATACTTTCCAACATATGGGCCTGGGGGGGGGGTCACTAGGCAAGGCGAACGGGGGGATTATGGTGGACAGCGAGGCACTGCGGCCACTCCCCCCCCCTTCCGTTTTGCCCTCCTACCGTAGTTCCTTCCCTTCCCTTCTTCCCTCCCTTCCCTCCCTTCCCTCCCTTTTCCCTCCCTTCCTCCCCCCCATACGCATAACTCACACCCTTCCCAGCTCATACCCGTAAACCCTACCCTACCCTACTCATCACTTGTAAGAGGAAGCACGAGAAAGGGGTCTCGCTCGCTCGGGGTGAGAGAGAGAACATGCCACAAACACGACGCAGGCGATCAAGAATACCAAGTTTCAGCCCTCCGCCAGTAGCGCAATCGCAGATGCTCGGCTTGGATGGACTTGTTTTACACGGTGGAGACAAGACGGCAACGGGGCGGGTCCGAAAGCAGACTAACTGCCTATAGCCTCAAAACCCGGAGCAAAGAAAGCAATAATAATAATAATAATAATAATAAAAAACAAAAAAAACAGATATTAATATTGCTGAAGAGACCCAGACTCTCTCCTCCCTTACTATCCTCTTCAGGTTTGGGATTTCCCGGATATGGTGGAATGCCCATCATATCCTATTTCTGCAAAGTGGACTTTTTAGGAATGCAGATATGTATAGTAAATTATAAGTCCATGTTATGTCACCATACCTAAGACTTGTTTCCCTCGATACAGGTTGTCTATCTAGTTGATGTAATTAGTTGTCATGTTTATTCTATCACCATGACTGCAATACCGTACTTGTATTTCCCACTCTTTCCCCTCCCCCCCTTCCTCGGGGCTCGTCGGGGAACTGGCACGTTCTGTACGGCATAGTCTACACAAACCCTCGTATCTAGAGACGCGCATCGGCATCATTATCAAAATGGCTATGAAAAAAGATTAAAATTTAATTACTCTTCCCCAGGACCCAGGAAACCCACAGCGCCACGGCAATAGACTACTCCTACCGCGTCCGCTTGCACTCCCGACTAACTATCATAGTTTCCCCCGAGGAGAGGAAAAAAAATTTTACGCGACATTTCCGTTTTTCCAAATGCTGTGCTTCCGCCATGGCCCCACTCGCCGGCCCCCGAGAACAGTTGCCCGTTAGTATCATCATGGTGGGTTATTATTCCAGCAAGGCTGACGAGGGTCTTGCAGCGTCGCTCCAAGCCTCCGCCTCCATCCTCCCCGTCGCACAAACCAAAACAGGAACTCTTAAACCTCGGAGGACAACGCAGCACAGATCTGAATGTGTAGACATCCGCCCAGACGTCACCTTAGTTTTTTAAGCCCGGTGGGAAGAGAAGAAGAAGAAGTAGAAGAAAGAGGGTGCTGCGGTGATGAGGGGGGGGGGGCTAAGGATGGATGTTAATGAAGACCATGTCAAATCCCGCCCAAGTTACCTGAGCAGCGGTAAAGTATCAGGTTGTTCGCTCTTGTTCCACCCGCAGCGCTGCCAGCATATCACGGTACTGTACTGTACTCAGTATATCATACGGGCACACGTTACGCCCGTTCGTTAAATCAGCATAGCCAAGCGGAGAGGAATAAAAAAAACAAAAACAAAGGGTCAGAATATGGAAAATGGGAGTCTGCAGCGTTGCTCGAAACCTGCCAACGAACCCAGGTTTGGAGTCACACTAACGCTATCGAGCAGGCGCCCTCTATGCACTGCCCAGTTACGGTGAGAATTCATGTCGGCCCACAGCCAAAGAGACAATTGAGCGCCCTCCGATTTTGATTTTTCCCATGTTTCAACCCTTGCAACCCCTTCTCCAATCATTATCTCTGATGTGGTGGGTGGTCCTTAATTGCTTTCCCTACCGGTATTTAATATGGTAGCCCCCCTCAAGCAAAGTGAAGTAGAGGTTAAGATAAGTGCCCACTGGCTAATGACGCAGGTACTTTCCAGATGTACTATGGGCTAGGCGGGATTTTGTGTTGGGTTGGCTTACCTCATGGAACGTAACGCCTTGGGATAGAGGGCCTGATGGAATGCTTCCCTCCAGTTAGAAAATTTATTATATTTGGCAGCTGTGCAGGTCTTTTTTGGAGCATCTCCGTTCGCGATTGCGTGCACGCCCCACATTTTATTTTATTTCATTTATAATTTATTACCTTTTTTATTTTATTTCTTCCTCGAAATGGTGTTCACTCTACCTTTCTCTAACCACTCTTGTCCCCTGTCTGCTAAGGGATATTAATCCGAAATAAGCGGTCGATAGCCACAACCCCATCCCTCAGGGAATCCTCCCCCCCAATCGCCAAGCTGTCCCCCCACCCCTGCAATGATTACCGCATGGGTAAGGGTGTTGATCAGAATAGGAATGTATGGCAATTCCCTGAACGCCATGGATTTTCCAATCCTTCTTTGCCATCTCGGTTCACTCCCCAGCGCAGTTGTGGTTTGTCTATCTGTCCGCCTGTCCAGCTGTCCGCCCTTCAGCTCAGTCGGGGCTACCGATGACAGACAGCCTCAAAAAAAAAAAAAAAAAAAAAAAAAACCCCTACATACATATCCTAATGTACTCGACTACTGGTACTGTACTGTAAGCATTTGACTATCATTCTAGTACTGTACTCGTACCTTTTGAAAGGGAATGCATGTTCGCCTTCAGGCTTCGATTTACAGTAAGTTTAAGAAGAAGGAAAGAAGGAAAGAAAAAACAAAAGATCCCCTCCCCTGAACCGGGCTGACCGGGCTCGGGCCCCCTGATCCCGTTTGTTCCCCGAGCATTCTCACTGGTTCTGGTCCCTTGCAATAATTACTATAAACTACAAATACTACAGAACACGTTATGATAAACCGGGGTTATCACGGAAATAACCACAAAGTAAATGTTATCAACCTGCCAGCCAAAGTACGACTCATTCCAACCCCCTTCCCCAACAGAATGAATGCCGGTGTTATCTGTGCGATATGCTGTGCAGAGTACCGGTACTGTAGTAGGTACAGTACAAACCTTCTGACTTGTGCACGTTCTTCCATGCGAGTTTGTGTGCAGCGAGTTGACTGAGATGGGATCATCTTTGTCCAGAGTGACATGATGATAGTTTTTACAATTTTACCATATGCATCTTTCTAGAAAAACTCCACTCTCCACTCTCCACTCTCCACCCCCCCCCCCCCAAAGAGAAAACCCCGATCATGCGAGTTATCTTCCCATCGCCTCCATCTCTCTCCCCTTTCTCGCTGCCGCCAGCCTACATATTCACACCGCCACCCCACGTATAGAAACGTGTTCGAACCGAACCGAACCAAAAGGGAAATCAAACTAAACCAAAAACCCAGACGAAACAGACAGGACAACAAAGACAAAACAGCAACATTGAGAAAGTGTCACAACCCCCTTTCCCCCCCCCCCCGGGCTCCTCAAGGGGTGGGGGTGGGGGTGGGGGGGTACAAAGCTCAACATGATGAGTCTAGAGCCATGTCCATGTGCGTACCGTACCAGTAGTACTCGTTACATAAATGTGTTGTACCTGTATGTACATGTTGTGTGCGAAAAAGGGTTGATCGATAACAATAAGTTACAAATAACGAATTTTTTTTTCAAAAATAAAAATAAAAAATAAAAAGTATTCCTTGCGTTAGACTGCTCGGTCCGGCATCCCCCCCTCTAACAATGAATCGAGCAACCTGCAGTGCAGAAAAGAATTTTTTGTTATGATAGTAGGAGTAACTCGTACTGTACCTGTACCTATCCGATCCAGGATCTCCACTCCATCCATTCCATACATCCATACATCGCCTTGGGTAGCCAACCCCCCCCCCCCTTACCCTTCTGAAATGTGCGAAATAAGCGACGGAAAGGCTTCCAATTCCTTCCTTCTATCCTCAACGTTTTTTCAGTACGAAATGGGAAAATGGGAATTACATTGTAATCCTGTTGGGAAACGGGATTTTTTTTTCTTTCTTTCTTTTTTTTTTTCCATTTTACCCTTTCGATTTTGCGTAAGGCTTTCCTTTCTTCCTTCCTCACCTTCGCGGGAGTTTGTACTCGTACCGCAAGGGGGGATAAATATAAGGGATAGAAATAGATACGGCAAGGTAAGTTACGAACGGATCATCGGAAGAACTTTTTTTTTTTTTTTTTTCTTTTCTTTTCTTTTCTTTTCTGCTCATCTGATGGAAGATTCCACAAACATTCGATACATGGCGGGGTGCGTTATGACTTTTTTTTTTTTTTTTTTTTTTTTTTCGTTAACCGTAACCGGCAGAATAGCAAAAAGGTTCATTTCGTGGAACATGTGAGGTGTCCTTTTTTTTTCTCTTTCTTTCTTTCTAAACTCGAATATCGTGACTTGTATCATGATATCAAAATAATAATAAATGCCGGTTATAAAGGTTGAAACGAACGGACAACTGGTAAACCGTACTGTACCTCTATCATAGCAACGATATTTTCTTCTTCTTTGGTTCTTGTGTATGTATGCATGTATGTATGTATGTATGTAAATGTAATGTAAGATATCTAGTTTCGTCCGCGTGGTAGGAAACGCAATCGTGCAGTTGGATTAAATTCATTCATTCCCACCACACAGCCCAGACACGATAAATATTGTAACGATGATACCGGTAATACCATTTTCGAGAGAGAAATCTTCCCTTCTCCTAACCGGTAAACCTTTCTTTTTCAGAGGCGAGAAGAAGATACGTTGTCCGCGTACGATTATGGTGATATCTCAACAATAAATAAAAGAGTTATGATATGGTATGGTATGGGGAGATTAGTCACCCCACCAACCCGCCCACGACCCATATTTTTTCGCTCCGGATGACCGAACCACCGGTACGGTACTCGACTAATCCTGACTTTGTTGTTGTGTGTGAGAGATGACTGTCTCCGACTTTTTTTTTTTTTTTTTTTTTTTCAGAACCACGAGCGAGGCTGTGATGATCGTGATCGCGATTTTTGGTAGAGGTGTGTGTGTGTTTGTGGTTTTGTTTCATCTGCACAGGGTTTATTACGAGTTGAGGTTGAACTCACTCACTCACTCACTCACTCACTCACTCGAGAATCGCGGACGTTCAAAACCAATTCGCCAAAAAGAAACCTTAACAATACCTGTACCGGTAATCTATTTTCCTTTTTTTTTTTTACCGGTTTTCCTCCTCCCCAATGGGTGGTGCGAAAGAGAGATATACTACCGTAGTATAGTAGGGTACTCCGGAGTAGGATTCAATTCGATTCGATTCAATTCAATTCAATCAATCGTACATGCACATACATACATAACCTTTCCCTTCTTCACTTTTTCACACTCATCCCGATCGAGATATACCCATTGGTCGAGAGCAGCAGCACCAGAAAGATGTTACAATCTTTGGGATAAATCCCACAATATTTTATTTTATTTTATTTTTTTGTCTCCCACGCTATCGTACCAGAACCCTTCTCGTCGGGGCGGGCAAGGCGTGGTAGGTAAAATTGTAACAGTAACTTACATGGATGGGGGTGGATGCATTCGCTGTCCCCCCTCCGCCGCATTCCTCCACACCACCACCAATCTTTTGTACGATGGATATGTTTGGAACTTGTGTATGGTCCTGAGGTTGAGTGAGTTTTTTGTCCATCTGGGGTGTGTGTGTGGGGGGGAAGAGGCTCACACACAACTTCGCGGGAAGGGATGGAAAAGGCGGATAGGCGACAAAAAGGAAAAATCACCTCATATGATAGGATGAGGATATTCGATACCGGTAGTCTAAATCGAACTGTTGGGTTGTAACTACAAGTACTATGATAGTACGAAGTTACCGGTGCACGGCAGGCTTATCGTAAGCTCAGCCTTATGTGGGGCAGAGAGAGAGAGAGAGAGAGAGAGAGAGAGAGAAAGGATGACTGTGCACTCACTACATCCATGCGGCTCCGGAAGATGTAGCTTTTCCTGGCACTCGGAAATTCTCGCGAGGCGAAGTAAGGCAAGCGGACGCGTATGTACTAGTACTAGTACAGCACCATAAGTCTACTACTACTACTGTACTTACGTACAGTGCAGTACAGTACATGGGTGTGTGCCTTTCTTCTTCTTCTCACCTTCACCTTCACTGCGCGTTGAGTTCCTCCGCCTTCGCACTCGTGATGCTCGCACAGCTGCTATTATTGTCGTGTTTGGTCCTCAATTCGAGTAAAATCAGTCATTCGGTTTATCGCGGTTCTAGATCTGCTGGAATTTGTAACTGTACTCGTACCTCATGATTTGTCGCGACAGAAAGGCAATAATAATAGGTTCCCGGGGAAAAGAAAGGAAAAAAGAAAGGGCGAAAAAAGCAAAAGCACCCCCAGCTTCTTGCTCATCGCCGACACACCCTACATTTCAGTTGAACAGCTAGCTAACTACTTTTAACCGCACCGCACCGCACCATAACTTCACTTCCACTCACGATTTACATACAACCTAACCAGAGGAGGGGAGGGGGGGATGCTGTTCGAAAGATCATGAGAAAAAAGATCGATTGTTCGTCAGCAACAACAAAAAGCTGTGACCACACAACAAAAACCCAAACTACTGTACGTGACCTCGTGGTCCATTTGTTGGGTGGATGGAGGGATGGATGGATGTGGGAGCCCTCGTGGCCTACACGATTGGCGAATGTAGGGCCCTGAAAGGCCTCAATTTCTGTTTGGATGATTGGATGGTCCGTCGGTTTGGTGGTGGTGGTGATGAGGAGGAAGAGGTAAAAAAAAAAGAAAAAATGGAAAATTGAAAAAAAAAGAAACTTACTTATCATACTTTATCGGTAACGAGTATGAGTATGAGTACGAGTACCGGTACTCGTGCTATTTGTACCTTGAAAACATCCGTGGTTAACTAACTTAGGTTGGCTCGGTCAAGTTAGGTATGATATTATTTAGGTGAGAGTGAGGGAATGATTTTTTCTTTCTTTCTCACTCTCACTCACACTCTCCAAGAGTTCCCCCATCGTGTATCATACTCGAGCACAGTTGCTGTACAGTACGTGGTTACTCGAGTACAGAGCCCACCGGCAGCGCCAGATATGCCCGATCGAGCACCGGATCTGGCGCATTGCTTCATAGATTGAGTGAACCCTTCATTCCACGGACAACAAAGAAGTACAAGCATAATAAATAATACATAAAAAATAAAAAAAAAGGTCACCCGGTTCAATCTCTATCACCGCAACCACAACCATAGAGACTGCACCTTGACCAAAACATCCAATAACTATCATACGGTGCGTAAAGGTTTTCCATTCCTCCAATGCCCCGTCCGTGCAACCGTGAAAGTTGTTTCGAGGACACGCACACACCACACCCACTTCGTTTTCTTTTTTGTTTCCTTTTGTTTCTTTTCGCATAAAAAAAAAGCAAAAACAAAAAAACAGTTACCGTACCGTACTCAAGTGCACACAAAAAATTAAAAAAATTGGCCACCAGTGTTTCGGCTCATCCGAGTTTCATGAGAATTCGCAAGTACCGTGTCTGCCCGTTTATCGATGGGGTAGAAGGGAAAAAGAAAAAAAAAGGAAAAAGGAAAAAGTTTGGAGACGAGATGAGGTTTTTGTTTCAACGCCTTTTCCTTTTCCTTTCTTGGCGGATTGGTTGATGGAGAAGGTAGGTGTTGGGGGAGGTGGTGGTGGTGGGTGGGGGGATAGAACTCGTCATGTGAAGAAGGGAAGGGAGGAGGGATTTTGGGTTTACCGTGGCTCGGACTACAATTTTCATACCTCGAGTATCACCATGATAACTTGGGTACAATTGCAACAAGTTTTCTTTCCTAGGCTTTGTTGGGCCTCTTTGCTTTTGTGATTGATTGATTGATTGATTGACTGTCAAGGCCTTCAGGCTTTTTCCATGTACAGTACAGTACTGTAGATGTACGAGTACAGTACTGTATGATACCGTACCTAACCTTTGATGCGCTGACCAGTCAAACCCCAACCGCAGAGATGGGGTCCACATCGGTTATATAATGGGCTAACCGGGCTATCCATTGAGTATGATCACGGTAACGAGAAAAGTGTCCATTGCCCGGCTTCATTGTTCGACTTTTGCCGGTGGAATTTTTATCACCGCTAGCCTATCATAACTTGGTAGTCCCACCCAAGTTATTGCCTAACCTACCGGTATCATTCATAAACCTTGGGTTAGGAGCGAATAAAAAAAATAAAAAAAGTAATCTCGATCACCGGTAGCTTACGGGGGGAAAAACAGTTTCTAAGCTTTTTTCTTCTTTTTTTCTTCCTCTTCTTTCCCTCGTCGGGTTCACTGTCTGTCTGTCTGTCCGTCTGTCTGACAGGACAATCCGTAGATCCGAGGCTCGAAAAGAAAAGTTTGTGCGAGCAGAGTAAAAATGTCCCCAACCATCCATCCATCCAGCCTTAATTTAATTATCACAAACGGACGGATATCGCGCCTCGCGTGGATAAAAGAGCTACGGTAGCTTTAGCTTAGCTTAGCTTAGCTACATGTTTAGTGCGCGACGCGCAACACACACAGATAATTGTGACAACGAGCCAGGAGCTAACGAAAGCCCTACGAGTACAGTACAGTACAGTACAGTAGAGTACCGGTACAACCGGCAACGTATATCCCTTTCCGATGGATACGAGTTTGCCGTTGGGAGGCACTTTGTGGTCGGGTAGGCGGCAGGCGGGGAGAAGAGGTACGAGTATCATACATGATTGTGGTGAGTGGGAAGTGGATATGTAATTGAGTTTGTCGGTGGTGAATCATATCGACTAACTGCGCCTGCGAGAGAAAGAAAAAACAAAGAAACTGAACCCTGGCGACAAAGTTATCGGTATCGGTATCTCACTCCGGTATCACTTCTCACTCTCACTCTCACTCTACCTGAACTTTTTTGTCGTGTTCGAGACCCTGTCTCGCGGAAGTGGTGGTTTGGCTGGCTGGCTGGATGGCTGGCGGGTTGTGTGATTCGGGTACTGTGGGAAAATCACGGTGCGCCTGCCTGCCTGCCTGCCTGCCTGCCCGTTTGCTCACTCGCTCTTACTTTCTTTTCTTTTCTTTTCTTTTCTTTGCTTTGCTTTGCTTTGCTTTGCTTTGCTTAGACTTTGTTGTTGTGGCTGGCAGGGCTGGCTAGCTTGCTTGCTTGTGATGGATGGTAAGGTATGATAGCTTAGCTGTCTCTCTCTCCCTTCGTCTGCCTGATCGGAAGATGACCAAGAATTTAGCGGGTTGCTGAGTCTATGAATTGCGATAAAACCCTCGTTCGGGGAGAAGGGCTTGGTAATGGATAACTGCGATGCCAATGGGATACCGGTATTAATTCAGTCACCGGAACGTCCCGCTAATACGGTAATAAGCTCTCTTTCTCTTCTCTCTCTCCATGGGGTGTGCACACACACACACAACTACACAACTGATAAATTGAGCAAAAGTGAGGTGAGGTTTTTTTTCTCTTTCATTCTTCTCATGATAAACCCCATCGAACAATCTTTGGTATTCTAGATCTTCTCCCCCTTAATTCTCCCTGGATCGAGTTTTTTTTTTGGAAGCTACCAATTACTGTCATGCTAACCTGTACCGTGCTGCTCGTGGCCGTGCCAATGGGGTTTTTCCGCTGTGCCGTACTGTAACTAGTACTCTGGATCACTCACTTTACGAGTAAGTACTACGGTACTTACTAGCTGGACCACAAAAAAGTCTTCCGTTTTCGATATGACATTGCGGCTCGGAGGGAGAGAGAGGCAAGGGAAGGGGGGGTGGGAGAGGGAGGGAAGAGTCAGATCAATCAGAAGAGAAACGTTGAGCTAAGCGATTGGCCCAACAACCCCCTTTTCCAACGTCTCTCAATTTCCATTCGTGGCGAGAATCCACGATCGACCTCCATGCCGGTCCCCGGGTCAAATGTAATCGGCATGGACATGATCATATAACTTCTCTCCTCTCCCTATCATATCACAAACACAACACACACACAGCACCTTCCTTTGTCCCCAAGGCGGATAGGAGCAACGTATCGTTACCCTAACAGTTGTGTGCAGCGCGGTGCACAGTCAATTGTACCAAACTACCCTTGCCGTATGATAACGGAATTGTTAAGGGTGGTGGTGGTGGCGGTTGAGCATAAACTGTGCTGCTCAATCCATCCATCTATCCGAGACCGTCCATTTTCCCCGATTCCCGTGCAATTATTTGATTCTCGGGGAGGCGGAAGTCGGCTTACCTGGTGAGAGTCCACGGAGAGATAAATGGGATGGATGGGATGGACGGATTTGTCGTGGAGAATGATATGTCACGTCACGTCGTTTTTTTCCTTATTGATAAGTACCCTACCGGATACGGTAGGTTGTATTGGATTAGATTTTTGGACGAGTTCTAGCCTTGCCTTATCAACGCACTCGATCACGATTTATTGGGTTGCCAATTGACCTGGCGAGTGAGCGAGAGAGAGAGAGAGCAAGGGAGGAAGGTCCGAATCCCAGTATCCTACCGGTACTCTTTTTTTCTTTTTTTTTCTTTTCTCTCTCTCTCACAACCTTACGATTGCTTTAGGTAGGTAGTTCTACTCGAGGACAGACAGATAGGTAGATAGAACGGAGGGAGGATAGGGGTAGTCAGCGCAGAATGATACCAGCATTAGCTGTGTATACAAGAGTCACAATTATCCGATCCTCTATACTTTCAGGTCATGCGAAACATCGTGTATTGGACTGCATATATTTATATATATATATATATATATATTGGAGGTTGAGATATTGTGAAAAAGAAAAGAAAAAAGGAAAAGAAAAAAGAAAAAAACAACAATCGTGATAAAATAAAATAAAACCCCCCCTTGTCGACGACGACATGTCTCCCTTGTCAGCTAGTTCTAATATCTATCTCGCACTGAATTAAAAAAGGCACTCTTATGGAATAGACCCTACGAACGCATACCGATACCAATTACGAGGAAAAGGAGTTATAGTTGGCAAGTAAGTACGAGTAATATTCATGACCGCCACACGCTTGACAAACCGGTGATCATTTGAAAGGAAAAGAAGAAAAAAAAAAGGTTCATCATGACAAGGGTAATAATAGATCTACAAGTGAACAGAGTAAAAAAACTTATTTTCTATCCCCCCCAATCCTCCGCTTATATTATAATAATAATAATAATAAACTCTTTTCTTTTCTTTCCCTTCCGCCGTCGTCCCGATTCTTCCCCGACCGACCGACCGACCGACCGACCGACCGACCGACCGAACTCACCGGTATTCTATAAGTACGATATCATACAAGTATAGTACAAGTTAACCGCCAACACTGACCTAAGAAAGATAAAATAAAATAAAACGAATCCATCCACGACTCACATCCGGCCATCCATCCAACTCTATTCACAAAAGAAAAGAAAGAAAAGAAGAAAGCACGGTAAGTGGTATGTTGTGTGTGCGTGTGCGGTTTGTGATAACCTTTGCCGGGTACAGTACATCCGTTATACTTGGCATTTTAGTTTTGCGGATTGTTTCGAGAGATTTTTATGGATGACAGGTATCGAGCACAGTATCGTAACAACTTTGCTCTTCTCGATAATTAATATTCTAAATCGTACTCGTACTCGTACTCTGCTGTTTGCTGTGTATCATAGTAGTACCGTATCATACTATACTGTAAAGTACGTATGGTGCCCACCGAAGAACCGGGAGAAAAGTATGATAATCCCGATATCATTATCAGATCTATCTACCATATCCATCGGTGCGCTGCACGCAACCTGATTCGAGAAAAATTCACAACCCCTATTATAATGATTTCCCCAGGATTCGGATGGTATGTACTGTACTGTACCGTACGTGAAAAATGTCATTTTCTTCACACCCCCCCCTCACTTCCTTCTCCCCGCATTTCACCGCGTAACTTATCGTAACTGTACGACTTGCTCTACTGTACTGTACTGTACTGTGCTGTGCCGGTCAATTCATCCAGATTCCTCGCAATGCATGAATTGGTTTACCGCAGTTAGCGGTCCTCACATCACGAGGGTGGTTCCAAACATATCTTTCTACCCACGGTACGGTACCCGCCTTTTTTGCTCATTTATGCGTTGATGGAAGAGCCTGAGTATATGATATTAATATCGTGGGGCTAACGCGGACGATGCGTGTTCCTCTACCCGCGCTTGTGCTAGAGTGCTCTCCATATGTATGCATGTGTCCGGACGATTTCATCAGGATTGTGGAACAGCTGGGGAGGGAGAATATGTAATATTGGCACTGTATTGTACGGAATAGGCAAGCTCTGAGAAAGTTCCAACTACGAGTACAGTAGCCTCGCTGTCGTGTGAACGTCACGCTGGATGCGGAGAAATAAGGAAACAGGGAAATTGTCTTGCCTGCCATACCGCTTGTGGACGCAATCTTGCCAAGGTTGGGCCGTAATCTCTGCACCGGTTACATCTGGAGCGGATTAAAATAGAAATGTTGATAGCTCTCTATACCAAGGTTTTATTCTTTCTTTCTTTCCTTTTTTGGGGCAAAGTGGACCCTGAATTGAACGCAATTCCCTGCGCATGGTGGGTGGCGAATGTGATGTCGGTGAGATGATGATGAAGCGCACGGCATCCCCCGGAGTCTCCGGACGTGACATCTCCAATTCGTCGAATACCGGTATCTTGCCGGCCGGCCGTGGATATTTTTGACTCGGTGCATGGGAAGGACAGCTCTTCACCGTCCGTCCTGGCATGCTTTGGTCACCGATGCCTGAATCCGGTTCGCTGTATTGCAGGTTTCGGTCTGGTCGTCCCTGTCGGTGCCATCACCGGGTATGCCAAGTTTGGTGGTACATTGCGGCAAACTGGATTTGCACGTGCTTCCTTTTTTGTCCTGCTAAGCATCGCGGGAGGCTTTCCGTTGGATAACGGTGTGAATTCAAGGGATACGTCTCGACCTGCTCGAGCATTCCTCTCTTCATCCATCCTGGCTCCGCCAGTCGGTATTGAAATATGCGGGAGAGTGTTCGAGATAGGCTAATACTACCTCTTCGGCCTCGGGGGACTATGGTACCGGTTTTGCATGCCCGTTCATGTATCATGGAGCTTCTTGGCTCCTCCGATATGGTAGCTATGAAATTAGCTACGCAAGGCTGATGCATTGCACGACATATCCTACCAAGTGTGATATTCAGCGATTTGCACAGTTTGCCCCCCCCCTCAATTATGTTTCATCTTGACGATCGCTGTTGTCCTAATTTCTATCTCAACCGGAACCCTTCTCACTTTCCCCTTTGTTTCTTTCTTTTCTTTTTTATGCCCCTCTGTTGTTGTGTTCCTACTTCGTGTCTTTGCATGGCATGGGAAACTCGGGGCTTTGAGACAGAAGCCGGTATTCAACGCACGCACCTGCTGCGCTGGACTGGATCGGACTGGAATAACTTTGGCAGCTGTAAAAGTCCTTTAATAATTCCAACCCTTTGTGAATATGATATATCTCGCTCCCTCACAAGGGAGAAACAACAACAACAACAACAACAACCCACAAGCGCCGGCACCACTGCCGTATCAGACATATTCCGCTGTGACGCTCTCAGATGGGATGTTCCTTCCCGCCTTCCCATCAAGCTAGCTCACCGGGGGTTTCGGATTATCTCTAACGCATTTTTTTCCGCAAATTCCCATCGATCCACTCGGGAACCTCTGATCTTCAATTCGCTTTTTTCCTAGCGCCGCCCCATCATCATCGCGGCATTGGCAGCAACATCAGCCACCACCTCTGCCCCGAAAATTGAAATTGGGAAACCTCTTATCTACCACCATATGCGAAGTCGAGCGGAATAGTCAAACTCGTATATCTTGGGAAAATTGATTTGCGATCCCCTTCCCTTCTCCCCCACGCATGCTGCACCTCCGGCCCGGAGAGGCGAGGGAGATCTAACCGCTTTTAACGAGCTGTGTTGGGAACACTGGACTAGGGCACGATGCGGGACGAATGGATGTCGATCAATGGGGGGCCGGCAATGCTCGAAGGGGGTCCCCAACCTGCGAGTAAATTGGAGGGGGGGAGAAACAAGGCAAAGGACTGGACCATCACGGATGCTTCCGGGCAATCTCAAGAGCGGTACGATTAATAGACCCCTTTGATAGGGTGCCGAGAACGATAGGGTAGTGAGAACCAACACTTCCCTTGGAGGAGATATGGTGCTTAACTTGAATGAGAAGGGCTGACTCATCAGGGAGAGCCGGTGATTCTCCCCACCCTATCATTCTCGGCACCCTATCAAGTATAAAGTGGGAAAATGGGATGGAGTACCGGTACAGTACCGGTAACTGGTCCGCCATGCCTTTCCTCGTTTGGACTCGTTTGCGGAATATGATCGACGCAGGGTAGCTTCCAACTGATTGGACGGGAACGACCAACCGAACCGCTGTTACCTTGGGAGAGGCAAAATTTACTTGTATCGTACTAGTACTATAGTACAAGTACCGAAGGATTTTTTTTTAAAAAAAAGGAAGAAAAAAAAAGATCCAATGTCTCACCAAAGCTTTGGTTGTACTATTTTATTTTTTTATAACATTACCGGTATTGTTATTCATTTTTTTTCTTCCTCAAACCTACTCATACGTGCTCGAGTACTGGTACACTTTAAAACTTTATCCTTGAAGGGTAGAGTATCGTACTCAACGGGGTTAGCACGGTCACAGGTGAACCAAGTGGCGGGAAATTTGTTGAAGGTCACTTTTCTTTTCTTTTCCTTTCCCTTTTTTTTTTGACATGTGTGGATGGGATGGATCTTGGTCCTCTGTTTTGTGTGATCCCCGATATCCATGATGCTTGCTTGCCCACTTACAGTTACCGGTATGATACAGTACCTCGGTCATCCATCATTTGGGAGGCTTGAGTTTTTGATGGGAGGGAAAAAAAGGAAAAGAAAAAAAAGGGAAAGAAGAATGGAGGAGAGTGGGAGAGAGGAAAAAGAAAAGGGAAAAAACGCCACTACCGGCAAAAGGGCTTAGATTTATTGATTGAAATATTGACATATTGACAGATGGAGAAGGAGGAAGCTTTCGTGAAAATTATTCAATATTGTGCACAGCTAAGTTTTTTTGTTTCAGATAGCTAATAAGCCACGGTTACTAGGTACACTTTCAATCCCCGCATTGCAGTTCAGCTACCTGTGAGTTTTTTGTGAACATGTATTATATTATAGAAATTTTTTATCAATGTCCAGGGGCTGTTATGGGTATTCAGGAGAATGCCCGAATAACAAACAGCTCGTGGACAGGAATGGTAAAAGTAACCCAAAGGCCCCCCCCCCCCCCCCCCCCCCGGAGCCCACGATTATCAACACGACCTCAACGAGGGGGCCGTTTCAGCCTAGCTCAACTCAGCACAAGAACCAATTCCTCGCGGGCGTAGGAAAAAAAAAAAGGAAACCAAAAAGCCCGGGCCTATATCTTCTAATAACCTATGGGTGTGTTAAAAAAGAAAGAAAACCATTCTGTTCGTGAAAACGCCCCCCAACCCAAATCCAATATCCGAGTTTTCGACGGGGGTATGATATGATAAATAAGGAAAAAAAAAACCCACCAGAGGCGGAGAGTGACCGAGTATTCCATTCCCGACCAAGCGAGTCACTTTCGACATGGATAGACCCCAACCCCCCCCCCCCTCGGATGGTGCTGGCCAGTCCAG